GTGGCTGGCATGCTCCTAGACATCTCGTCCTTTTATGTTCTGCATGCTAGGGACTATGTCACTAATTCTTGCCTAAGAGAGAGCAAGATGCCCTGATTTCAACTTTTCAGTATGCTGAGTTACAGGTCAACAGCACTCCAAGGGGACCACCCCATTGTTGGACCTCAACAGAGATTTGCTCTTGGTCATAGTGTATAGTGAGGAGGCCTGGCTGGCAGGAAATACTTCCGGGGGCCCATTTCTGCCCAAATATGGGCTCTTTCCACACTTACAGGATGCTGTGTATTTCAGAGCCCTGGGCCTATAATTAGCTGTGCTCAGGGTGGATTTGGTTAAGAGTGATGTTTGTTCTTTTCTACCACAAGTCTCAGAATTTGTGCATCTGGCACACAGTAGAACACAAAGGAAAATCTCACTCTTTTGTTTCTATCCTGATCTTCTGATCTGTTCTGCATCAAGTTTAGCCTTGCTGACGTCTTTTGGAACACAGATGCCATCATGAGGCTTAGGGCATGAGCAGCATTAGACTTGACATATTGACAATTGGCTTATTTAGTGTGTTTGGTGCCTGGTCTTGTTTGCTGCTTTTAATTAAGCACAATGTTAGAGTTAAAATTTTGTTTATAATCACAGCTATTTGAAATATCAGCAGGCGTGTGCTTAATTCTTCAATTTGCCAGCAGCTTCATTGAAAGAAAGCAGCAGAGGGAAAGGGATAAGAGTGTCACCCCTGGGTAATTGTGTTCTCCTTCTGAGGGGCTGGCACTTCTCAGCAGCACGCCAAGAGCTGGGCCAGAATTGCAGATGAGCCTCAAGGATGCTCAGCTGGAGAAAGCAGGCTCTGTGTGGAGGGAGGAAAGCAGATAGTCAGTTGCCCGTGTGTATTTGCTCTTGTTGTTTCAAAATTGGGCCCTGCAAAGTGAGTTTGAGTACTTGAGTGTTGGTTCACCAGCTAAGAGGAATTTGAATCAGAACTTGCAATCATTTATGTGCCTAATACTCTAAAACAGATGCTTTCTCAGGAGAGGTGAGTGGTTTATATACATCACGTCCTTAAATACTTTAGTAGATACATCTGATCTCTCAGAATTCTAGATCAGGGTCTCTAAGTGTGTAAAAAGGCTAGATATTTTTTATGCTTCCTGTAACACAGGAAAATGGATGCTGCAGGGCTTCAGAACAGCAAATGTTTCCCTACAAGTTGACTGTGAAAATGAAGCATTTGAATAAATCAGCTCCTGAAAGATGATTCCATCACTAAATTTACTTCTATATACCTACTATCCCCCACTGCTCATGCCTCTGTGTGTGTGTGTGTGTGTCCTACCCCTCTCTCTTTATGGTACTGGATATTAAGCTTCAGGCCTTTACATTGAGCTACATTACAGGTGTGTGCTGCTGTCCTCATTTACCAGATTCATAGTTAGCAGTATCAGATGGCCTCCAAAGTCCTTCAGCCCTGGCTGTGCCCAGAGCTGAGGCAGCTGTCATTATAGTTGAGGGTAGAACCCAGGGAGAGGGACACTGAGAACACATCATGGTTGCAAAGGGTGGTGCAACAAGGGAAATGGCCTTGGACGAATAGCCCAGCCTGGTGCCTAAGTGTTGGCTTTGTTCTGCACCCTCCTTAGCCACCCTGCCCTCCTTCAGTGAGCACAGTGTGCTCCCTCATAAGAGTGCATGAGAGTCGCCCTTCAGAATTTGATCATTGCAGGATATTAAATAGTAGAATTACAAGCAACTATGGCAATAGCCCAGTCAGAGAGCAGGCAAGACCAGAAAAAGATGTTAGCTGAACACTATTAACAGTGGAAAGTGACTCAGAGTCAGGGGTTTAGACCTGAGGCCAACTGGAGCTTCCCAGGAGAATGAGGGAAGCTGGGGCCGATTCCAGCAGAACTTCAGGCTGTCCATGTCTGGCTTTGGGTTATCCCACCAGCAGCTTTGAAGACACACGCTGTGTGGACTGCCTCAGACACACACAGGGCTTTTTGCCTGATGGCGAAACGATGCATGTTGCTCTCTGATTTTTTTTTTTTTTTACTTTCGTTTGTTTATTATTTCATTGGTGTAGAAAACATTTTATTCCCTTTAGGATTTTAGGGCTCAGTCCAATGACTCAAACACATGACACATTTATGTTCTCAGAAAGGGAGGATTGAAGTAAGAAAGGAGGCTGACAAAACAATAAATTACAGATCTTGCATCTTCTACAGAACCTACATCACACTCTAGGTATTGGGAGTTATGATTTTTCTTACCATGCAAATTCCAACCTCTACCTTAAAAATCAGTTTGGCCCACATATTTCTACCTTACTCCTACACTTATTTGAATCCTGCGGGTCATTCAAACCAGCCTCAAGCCCTGACTTTTCACTGACTTTATCCCACCTACCCAGCAACTGTCTTCCTGTGCTCTCTGATTTTTATAAGCTGATTTTTACCCTTATCCAATGCAACCAATTAAGTCAAATACACATTCTGCCAGTGAGTTCACAACAGCTGGGCAGCACTGTTCCTGGCGTATCTACATTGTAAGTGAAGGGGATCATCCAGACCAACATCATACTTCTACCTAGTGTCCTCTTCAGCATATTATTTCAGAACTTTAATGATTTCTGTGCTTGCTGTGGAATGATATAGGCTTTTCTGGGAACATTTGTGGTTACTGTGAAGTTCTGATTTCATCTAATCACACCCGCAGACCCTAGATGGCAACTTTGAAAGCCAGGAGAATCTCCAGTCTGCTGGAGCAGGGCCTTACGTTACATATTTTCTCATTTACTGTCCCTTAGTCATAGGGTGACTGTGACCATCCATCCTGCCCACAGTGTCCTCCACACCTAAGGAAGCAGACATAACCCAGTGGGTACACCAGGGAGTCGAGATCATGAGGCTGCCACACTGTCACACTTACCACAAATGCCACACACTCACCAGGAATCTTTGCAAATGCTGCTAGGAAACAGTCCTGTTTCTTTCAATTTACAGTTAATTGTCTGAATCCGCCTACCCCAATGGAAAGAAGTCTTCTGTCTCCCTTGAACTCTCCCCTCTGTTGATACACATCTGTGTGCACACAGGAGCTGCCCAGGAGCACGAGACTGCTGGGGAGGAAGGCACCGAGGATAGCAGAGGTGCTGTTGTGCAGGGTCTTGCTGGTCCGGCCTGGTCCAGATGCCCCATGCTGGGTATTCCATTCTGTACTCTGCTCAGTGCCGCTGTGGGGCTGTGGAAGGAACTGGTGCCCAGGCCCCAAACACGGAGACCACCCTGCTGCTCAGGTCATCCCCAGACGAGGTCTTGTGGCCTGTGAGCAGATGTTGCCATGGATTTGCTGGGTGCCACAGAACGTGATGCCTTCGGACGTGATTCCTATTTCATTGGTTGTTCTTCAGGAAAGAAAGCTCCTCCTCAGCAGGGATTCTCATTCGGGCTTGACTGTTCTAGCTGCAGGACCAGCTCCAGGACCCAGATCAGAGATGGCTCCTAGCAGGTCCTCGGTTGCTGTTTTTGGATGTGTGGCTTACGAGAACCAGCAACATTCAGAAGTACTTGTGTAGGTGGCTGTGGTAGATGCTGGTTAAGCAAATTAAACATTATCTTACAGGAGCATCTCAATGAGATTATGGAAGTTTGGGTACTAGGTAAAGGTTCATGTTATGGGCCAAGTAAAGACTGAGTATGCACATATTCATATCATCTGGAACATTTCATGTGTATCTGGGGAGTAGTAGTTTTGGGGGTGTTTACTGCTCAGTAGAGGATTTAGCAGGTGCTGGATGTTTACAGAGAGGCAGAACCAAGCCCAGGAGCCTCAGTGGCCTAACCTGCTTTTATTTGAAAAATCACACAAATGTGTACAATTAATCTGTGTTAATCAAAAAATAAAACCTGGACAAACAGGAAATCTGAACAACAACAGAAAACAAAAACAAACCACCAAGCAGCAGCAGCGTCAACGCCAAGGACCACGAACTTCCAGGTCTCTGTTCTCACCACCATCCATTTGATTAATATTTCCCAGGGAGCAATATTCTACACATTTTCCTTACATTAAAAAAAGCCTATTTGTGCAAATTTAGTGCCCCAGATCTTGGATTGAACTGTATGTTTCTTCCAGGTACTTTTTTAAAGTACAAAAGTTATGGTTAGGCTCATAGATAATTTCATATTATTGAGAAACAGGCATCTCCCCCACCCCTACCTCACTCCCATCAGGACTCAGATTTCTCTAGTGAAGTCTTCTCTGTAAATACCAAAGTGCACAACACAAGCAGCTGAGTTTTTGGCATTTTCCTTTTCCCCAAAGTAAACAGGCTTGGGGAGGGCAGAGGTACCGAAGGAGGTGTGTGGCTCCTCCCGTCATGCAGTGGGCACCGGTCCTTACCTTTTTCAGGTGGCTCTGCTGGGCAAAGACAGCCTCTGAGCTCGTCACACCAGTGTGCCTGTCAGGGAGCCTGATGCCTCACCTGGGTGTCAGATGGAAGGAGGCAGCATGGGCAATTACAATCCTTGTTAGTTCTTTATATTTGGATGATGCCCCGGGACTGTCTGGAGGACAGTGTCCTAAAACCTTAGCTCCTGTGAAGGGTCCCCACCTTCCCACACACTTTGCTAATGAAGACAGTGAGGCTCACAGAGGCTAACAACTTACAGTCAGTAAGTATCAAGGCCAGGATTGAGCCTCCTCACTTGTTTGACTTCTAAACCCTCTCTAACACCAGTGGACTCACTGGGGTCATTCTACTTTCTTCCTATATTCAGGGATTAAAGGCTGAACAGAGATCAACTTCACATTGCTATTGTTAGTTGTGGAGCTTCCTTCCTTCCCAGAGATGGCAGAGGTGATGCCCATCTGTGGTCTGGATGCCTCTCAGAAGGAAGTCGTTGTTATTTTCCTTCCAAGAAGGCTTGTGTTGAAACCCAGTGGGCTGTGAGATTGTGCTGGTGTCCTTCTCACCATGGTTCTAACCAGCCTGTGCCCTCTCTTTCCAGATGCCGCTCCTATGAGGACTGCTGTGGTTCCAGGTGTTGTGTGCGGGCCCTCTCCATACAGAGGCTGTGGTATTTTTGGTAGGTCACATTTCTTACTTGTTTCTGGATGCCAATCTTCATTGTCCCCAGCCCCCAAGAGCTCAGCCCCCTGTCAGTCTTGTTACCACCTCATTTGTGTCACCTTCATGCTGGGCTATGGCCTTCAGGACAGCTGAGCAGGAATATTTGGGTCAGCCTCATGAGAGCTCACAGAGTTTGCAGAAAGCTGGTTCCCAGATGTTGCATCAATTCTCCAACAGAAACCTGGAGAAGAGTTCTACTTTGAAAGGTGGCTGGATGACTTCCTCTTCCAGCTCCTTAGTCAGTTTCTGAAATGGAACTAAGGCTGAGTTAAGGAATCAGAATCAGCAAATCAAGACTTGTGATTAAGTTTCTGCTACCTGGAAATCTCTATTCACCTTGGATGGCTCAGTCTTAGTTCTCAAGATAGCCTGGGTCCTTGTGCCTCTTCTGTTCCTTGGAAGGAAGTTTACTGAGGCATCTGAAGTCTACATACCATACTCTGAGGGTAAGGCGGGGGCAGTTTCTTTCCAGAGAATGGGACCCTGAGGGCGTGCCCCTTCAGAGCTCTCTGAGAACCCATTTGACACTACAGATCAGAAGCATCCATTCTTCAGATAATGTATGGGAGGGGATTTCTTTAAAAGAGAATTTCCTGTACTCACCCACTTCTCTGATCTCACGCTGGTGATACCCTCCAGTCACTGCCGCTCACTAAGGGCTACCACTTCATGCTCTTTTTATAACTTTAAAGTACTGGCTTCACTGCCTTCTTTTTGCTTTTTTTGTACTGGGGATTGAATCTAGGGCCTTCATACTCTGCTACATCCCCAGCCATGATGCCTTTTTGATACATTCTTCCTAAGTGGCAAAGTTACCCAGACTGGGCTGGGACTTTTTGATACTCCTTTCTCAGCCTCCCAGCTTGCTAGGATTATAGGCCTACACCACACTGTTTTGGCTTTTACTGACTTTTAAAATTTTACTGAGCATGTTAAAGCAGCCGCTTCAATTACTTTGTGAGGTTTTTGTCTTTCTCTGTTGACAACTGTCCCAGAGTTTGATTAGAGAAACCTCAGGCAGTCCAATGTCCTCGGTTTTCTTAAATAGCAAAGCCTCTTGCTGTCATTTCCAACATCATCCCCAGCTCGTAGGTTAGGCTTTGGATATGTGGGAGCTGGGTGTCACCTGGACCCTTGGCCCCTGGCCAGGCTTCCCTTGAGATGACCTCAGGAAGCTCTGCTTGCAAAAATGCACTGCTAAACAAGGGAGCCGTGTCCAGCTTTCCCCAAGTCTTAGTTGTCTAGGACTGAAACTCTGTAGGAGGAAATGAATTGTTTTACCCTACGACTTCCAAGATGTGAACACTTCATAGTACACCTCAATGTGGACAGGAAGCACCAAGAGGGCAGAGGGGGCGTTTCAGAGCAAGCCAAGCTTCGGGCCATGTACTCCCGCAGGTATTTTACTGGGTCTTTGGAACGGAAGGAGGCAGTGCTGTCTAGGGCATGAAAACCTAACCCTGAAAAGTTTGGAAATATTTGTATTTGTCTGGAGCACTAGTTGCATGCTGAGGAGGTTGTGGAGATGTTCCTAAAAATGAAAAGAATGAGAGTCCGGAACTATCAGGGCCTGGTAGCCTTCCCTAGTTAACTTAACCTGAACTAGCAGCCACGCACTCTTGAGCTGTTGGCCGGGATCCTCTCCCAGAGCGAGGGTAATTGGTGACCTGGGTGGTCTTCCACACCTCACGGGAGGCCGGAGTACCCAGCGCTGGAAGATTTGGCAATTACTCTGAGATTGGAATCTGGATACAGGTTCACCTGGAGGAGCAACCAGAGGACACCCTAGGAAGTGATATGAAGGGCTGGCTGAGATACTTGGGACACCTGGACTCTGTTCCACACCTTCCTTCTAGTAAATGTCAGGTCCCGATATGCACCAGGTATTCTGCTGGGAGCTCCTCTGAAGGCTCTTATGGCAGTGGGGCTCCTGAAAGATAGATGTCTAAGCAGATAATCACAGGTAGAGAAACTTGAGCCAGAACTGTGCAGACAATCCACAGAAGCTCTGATGCCAGGGAGTTGGGCAGAGCTCCAAGATTTCAGAGAGTGGACAGTACATTGCAGGGACAGGAGCATAGGAAGATTGGCACAGGAAGAGAGAGATGGGAAGTGGGGGAGGAAGGGATGGGGCTGAATGGGAAGGAAGACCGGCTGTGGACCTGCAGCCCCTCACTTGACTTGTGACAACTTCTGTCTTCTTGCCACAAAACAAAGGGTAGCCAGGCCGGGCGTGGTGGCACACGCCTATAATCCCAGCACTTGGGAGGCTGAGGCAGGAGAATCGCTGTGAGTTCCAGACCAGCCTGGGCTACATAGTGAGTTCCAGATCAGTCTCAACTATACAGTGAGACCCTGTCTCAAAAAACAAAACAAAGCAAAACAAACAAAAAAACCAAAGGGTAGCCAGCTGTGGTGGGGCTGGCCTGTAATCTCAGCATTCTGGGATGCTGAGGCAGGAAAATGGCAAGTTCAGGATCAGCCTGGAATAACTTAACCATTTAGCAAGACCGTGTTATGAGCTCCAGCAGTCTCAACTATACAGTGAGACCCTGTCTCAAAAAACAAAACAAAGCAAAACAAACAAAAAAACCAAAGGGTAGCCAGCTGTGGTGGGGCTGGCCTGTAATCTCAGCACTCTGGGATGCTGAGGCAGGAAAATGGCAAGTTCAGGATCAGCCTGGAATAACTTAACCATTTAGCAAGACCGTGTTTCAAAATAAATGTAAATTAAAAAGCTGGGAGCAGCTCAGTGCAAAAGCCCTAGGTTCAATCTCCAGTACCCTCTATACACCCAAACAAAAAGGTTTGAGGGAGAGCACCTAGTCCCTGCCAGCTCAACAATCTCAAGGGCTCTTTAACCAAGGAGGTCTCAGTGAGATGGCCAGGGTTAGACAAGGCGGCTGGCAACTGCTTGGCATGCAGGGTCTGGAGAAGGGCTAGCGAGGCCTCCATGCTGGGTCTCACTGGGTTGCAGGCAGCAGCACCTATCACTAGGATATGCAGAGTTGAGACCTGCTGTACTCAGGTTGGGCATAGCAGAGGGATGGGGAAAACTGAATTAAAGAAACCACATGACTTCTGATGATAGGAAAAGTGCACTGCTTCACTGTGAATCCTTGGAAACCTTCCAGAACCCGCTGAGAGGCAGGGTCGGGACATCTGAGCTCCTGGCATTGAGAACTACTTCTTTGCTGACTGCCTTGCCTTCTCACTGACTGGTGGACCCTCCCTCCTGGTCCTTAGCTCATTCTTCTCCTCCCTCAAGAGTTCCTCTCTATTAAAATACGTTCTCAGACAGACATTTCATTGCAGATTGAGTCAGGCGGCCAAGCCCACATGTGATGTGCTCTCCTCGCCTCCCACCTGTTCCCTCTTAGTTTAAGGAGTGAACTGCAATGCCATTCCCATCTAGGAAAAACATTCCTTCTGGCAGTGTGACCAATATCTTGGTTTTTCCCAGGGAAGAAACCCACTTATCAAATTACTGTGTTTTTGCAGTCAAGGTACTAGCTGGGTTTCTTGAAAAAGTAAACACATGCTCACATCCGGGCTCTCTGTGCTTTAGGTATTTCCACTCAGATAGTTACAGCTGGGCTTAGTGTCTGACTCCACCTGAGGGAAATTAGTTTTAAGAGACAAATCTGTTCCCATATGAGATCCGTGTGCTTAGGGCTGAGAGAGGCCTTGCTTTGCCAGACCCCTGCAGTTTGGCTCCTTCTGGCGGCTGCCAGGACTGACTCTTTCACCCTGCCTCCAGCCATAGATCCTTTCTGTCCAGCCTCTTCCCAGAGTTTTTCCTGCTGGGGCTCCTTTGCCTGTGTGTTCTTCCCACCCAGATATCTCTTCCCTCCTCTCAAGCTTGTCTTTCTTGTGCTATGGCAGCCAGCTTGTTTGTCACTGAATGAGCAGATGCCTTTCTGATCTTCTTCACTACAGTAGAGACCCAGGTGTAAACCTCATGGTACATTGCATTGTACACTTAAAGTTGACTAAAATGGTGAATTCTGCATCATATGTAGTATATTTTGTTATACACACACACACACACTGAACCTATTCTTGCATCCCTTGTTTTTTCCTTGATACCAGTGTTAGAAGGAAATAACTGTGTATTTGTCATTAACTGTCTCCCTCCCCTTTTAGAAATTAAGTTCAGTGGGGTGGGTGGACCCCAGTTGTTTTCCTCATTATCATGGTCAGCGTGGTCCTGGGAGCGTTGCAGGTGCTAACAGTCAGTGGGCAATGAATCAGGAATTCTGATGGAACACAGGCGCTAGCTCTAGCCTTTCCCTGAGTCATCCCTCTGTGCCCGATTTTCCTTTCTACTCCATGTTGCAAGGTCAGCCAGTTTTAAAACTGTGTCATTGACTGCCTTGCACTTTGCATCATGTTAGCATTCTCAAAAACTTTATCATCCACCCCTTCTCCAGACTCGGCAGGTGTGGGCTGGAGTACTGGCCACGAGCAGTGCTGGCTCACCCAGCACAAGGCTGTGGCTGCCTGCCAGAGTGCAGGTCAGTGGTATGAGGCTTGGGAAGGTCCTCTGGGCGCGATCACATGTACACCTGAGATGAGCAAGACTTGCACAGATTCCTCTGTCAGTTTTGCCTGTTACTGCTGGCTCTTCTCAAAGAGACTGCACTGTTTTCTAGAAACGAAGGTATAGTGCAGATGGGAAATGGCGGAAGTAATCTTTGGTGTTGATGCTGTGGTAGCCAACAAGGATTCTTGAATGAATTGGTCAGAGTTCTCATTCTTACAGGACTTAGATATATTGTTGTTAGACTTCAGAATGTCCAGGTGTATTTAGAACCTAGGATTTTCTGATTTTCAGTTTAAAAATTTGTTTTTCAGCTTTTTATTGGTTGTGTTTTCTGTTATTCTTGTAGTTTCTTTATAATTATGATGTGCTCCAGGAAGGGAACTTTGTCCTTTGTAGATGTTCATTCAGATAATAATGGAAACACCTGTTAGGAACTGTAAATGTGCTCATCCTCATGGCCTTGAAAAATAAGAAAAACTAAAGTGTTACAGAGGCTGGATCAGCTGATATTAAGACAATTTGGGCAGCATCTTCTATTTAGACTAAAACACTGAATTGAGGTCAGAGGCATGGTATTAGTCAACTTTCCTGTTGCTGGAACAAAATGTCTGACACGTACAACTTACAGGAGGAAATGGGTTATTTGGCTCATGGTTTCAGAGGAATCAATCCACAGTTAGCTGGTTTCATTGCCTCAGGTAAGATGAAACATCACAGTGGAAGGTGAATGGACAGAGCTGCTCATTTCCAGGCTACTGGAAGCAGAGCCCAGAGAAGAGCACACAAGAGATACATCCTCCAAAGGACATCTGGTGACCTCCTCCTCATAAGCACAGCTCCCAGTGGTCCAGCCACCTCCCCAGGAGTTGAGTTGACAATCAAAGGCACAGCTGTGCACCAGAGCGCAACTGCACAAACTCTTGACCCCAGCTAGCCATCTGGAGCGACTAGACACAGAAGCCTCACTCACAGAGCTTCTCAGTGTTGGTGGCCACTATCCCGGGGACAGTGCAGGCATCATCTACCTGGGTCTTCTCCAGAAGCAGGGAAGGGAGGTGCTCCTGGGACAGATGGACCAGAGAGGTCCAGGTCTGGGTGCCAGGGCTCCTGACTGTGAGCTCCACTGCCCCATGGCCCACTCTGGCCTCAGCTTTCTGGATCCCCAAGGGCCTGGGGGCAGCCTAGCTGTGTCCACCCCACTTACATCTGCCTCTCCCCAGGTTCCTCCTGATGATGGGTGTGCTTTTCTGCTGTGGAGCTGGCTTCTTCATCCGTAGGCGCCTGTACCCACCGCCGCTGCTTGAGGAGCCTGCATTCAACGTGTCCTATACCCGACAGCCCCCCAATCCCACACCAGGTCAGCCCCCGTCACCTTCCCTGCAGATGTTTGCTGGGGCAGTGCCCCAAAAATCCCTGGGAGCAACTGCAGCTCCAAGGATCCACTTCATTGTCATTTTGCTGGCAACAAATGCAGTGTATGAAAAGGATTGTGTGTCAGTGCCTGAAGCATTGCGGGTACGCTTCACATGGAGCTGTGCAATGTGTGTCCACTGCCTTCTTCCTTACGTAGTTATGTGATTATGAATTTCTATGTGGGGACGGTACTGTCCTTGCCATTTCTGATGTCTCTGAACTATACATTGTGTCTTTCAGTGATAGTTTATGAGATATTCTGTGATTCTTGATGATTTAGTTTGCCTTTTATTCATTCAGGTATTGGTTACTCACTTACTAGCATTCTAAGCACTCATGATGAATGCACTGCAAACAAGTAGACATTTTGTAGATAACTATGTTTGGCTGTTTTTAGGGTGTAGCACCAAAGCCATGTCTCAGGGTCAAAAGCAATTGGCTATTTCTTAATTGAAATACAGACCCATAGAGTGTGTGCTGGCAACTGAACCCAAGGCTTTTGAACTGAGCTACATCCCCAAGTTGCAAAGTTGCCCAGTCTGAGTTCATACTTTCAATCCTCCTGCCTCAGCCTCCCAGAGTGCCAGAACTACAGGCATATTCCACAGTGGTCTGATATTTCTTAATCCGTATAAGACAAGTATGCATTAGATATCCAAGTCTCATGTGTATTGTGATGGGTTGTGCTGGCTGCCTCCCAATGCAGACAGTCTGGTGTGCTGCTCTCCACATTGTGTGTGGGGAGCCTTCTGAGAATGGAGGGGAGCCCAGGCCCAGAGCAGGCGGGTGAGGGGGACGAGGTGAGGGCCCTTCATATGCAGCTTGTTGTGCTCAATGGCAGTCCCCAGGATGCTCCTGGGAAGTGTCTACCCCAGGGATGGCAAGCCTGTTAGAGCTTTCAGTGATACAAACAGCCCACTGCAGCGCACATGTCCTAGATTCACCACCACTGGTCTACACAGACTGCACACTGCTGAGTTATTATGGTCATTATGCCAATATTTCCTGATTTGGTTTTTACAAAGTTTCAGTTATACAAAAAGATTCAGTCCTAGAGATCTACTATGCAGCATACAATTAACTAAACTGAAGTTTAGTTTAAAATTTACTGAGGGGATAGACTTTATGTTAATTGTTCTTATCACACACAAAAAACAGCCATCAGAGGGTAGGGAATGCTTTGAGGTGAGAAATAAGTGCATGATGTACACTTGGTGGTGAGTTCATGGATTTTTACTTGCCTCAAACCCCTCAAGCTGTGTATATTAAATAAGTGCCGCTGTTTCCATATCAGTCATAGCTTAAGGTACCTTAAGAGAAAGGAGAGAAATAGGGAGCTTGACCACAGAAGGAGAAAGCTGAGTCTTCCCTCTTCTGCTCTGAGAACATGCTGTGCTCAGGGTGGAAGGAGAATGAGCTGATTTTTTGTGCATTTGTTTTTTTGCAGTTTTCTTCTACCAGATACTCTGCAAGGTTTTCTTTTTAAAAATAATTTTATTTAAAAAAAATGTTACCTCAAAAGATGCGAATGTGTGCATTTCCCATTATAGTGCTTTGGGAACTGTGCCTTAAGGTTCACTCAGTGTTGGTGCCCGAGTTTTGGGTTTTTTTTTTACATACATGTATTGTCTGTTCTGTCTGTTTTAGAGAGGTTTTGTCTGCTCTGGTTCTGGAGATAAGCACAGGGCCTCAGCATACCGGGCTTACCTCTGAGTTGTACGCCAGCTAGTAGTCTTCCATATTTGACAGTATTTGAATGGTGTCAAAATTTATGCTGTCTTGTAGGACAGAGTGCAAATTTTCAGTTAAAACAGGAGGCTGAAGCCATCACCCACCAGGTTTCATCTGGATCTGAGAGGTTTTAGTACAGAGAGAGCAGCCAGGTCTCCCCCAGGACATGTAGCCTGTGGCCCTCAGATGCAGGGACAGTGAGCCCATGGCCCCTGTGTAGGCTGAGTCTCGGAGTCCGTGGCTCCATTGTGTCCCACCCAGGCCTGCATGGAGAGCCATGGGATGTGACCCCTGTGTCTAGCTACGCAGAAGAGAAAGGCCCTTCCCAGCCCCACTCTTTCCCCTTAACCATGTGCCTGGCTGTCCTCAGCCTCCCTCATCAGGGGCACCGACACCTCTGCAGTCTGATCCCCAACTCTCGTCCTGAGCAACACCTGCTCCTAGTTCTCCCAGTCACTGGTCTCCACATGTGATCACCAGAAAGTTCTTAAAAAACAGTCCTGGTGGCACAGCAGCAGCTTTAGAAGATGGTTAAATTTTAGAATCTAGATCAGAGCCAGACTTGGGGGCACCTGCCTGCAATCCCAACACCAAGGGAGGAGGAGATGGGAGGATCTCAAATTTGAGTCCCACCTGGGTAACACACACACACACACACACACACACACACACACACACACACACTCATCAATCATTTACAAAGGGCTGGGTTGTAGCTCAGTGTGAAGGCCATGGGTTCAACCCTTAGTACTGGGAAAAAAGGAATCTTGGTCCAGAGGAACACAAACAAAAGACACTGAGCATGTGTGCAAACAGCAAAGCCCCCGGTTAACCTGCCCAGGAGAAGCTGTCTTGGGCCCAGGCCAGCCTTGAGTCTCTTGTTGCTCCTACTCGGCTAGGAGGTTGTGTCAGCAGAGAGAGCCTTACTGCACACCACTGTGATGTGGGCACATGCAGAAGAGCAGACCATTTATTTTCTGCTAAGACACCGTGAGTGGACTCCAGGAGAGCCCATTGCAGAAGCCCAGTGCCGGCTGCTGGAGGCACTGAGTTCCTCCAGCTGCCGCGTGCCTCACTTGTGGCTGTCCTCGCTACAGTGTAACCTGACCACCAGCCCCATCTTCCCTCCTTGCCACCTGCAGCAGCACAGGATAGTTCTTCACCAGGATCACGTGTGAGCACTGGCTCATTTTGTTCTAGCGGCAGACTTCCTTTTCCACAATTTCACACCAAGTTAGGGGCTCTGTTACTGCCCGGCAGCTCCAAGCTTGGGGAGAATTTGCCTGCTTTGATGAACTCTTCAGAAGTTGTCATTTTGAAAGTGAGAGCCCACATGGAGCCTGGGAGGAAGCAGCTGAACATGACGTCTATGGGACTTCGATGCTGTGTGATGGCCGCTGCCTTGGGAACACGTGCAGGCCCGATTCTCTGTGGGCATCGGAGCGAGTTAGTGGTCACCAAGGGCTGTGTGCCAGTGGGAGGGATTGGAGGGACAGGGATGGGTCCAGACTCAGTGCGGCGCTGCCAGCGGCCAAGCAAAGGAAACAGAAGCACAAGCTGATGGCTGAGGCCTGGTGTGATTGGGCTGCACAGAGGACATATCGGTGGGTCCTGTATGGGACACACAGACCTCGGGGCATTGGGCACTGAGGGTTGGGGAGGAGGTCAGATTAGGAGCTGACCTTGAAGAATATTAAAGCTGGTGCCAGATCACATCCACCTGCATGCACACAGGGCATCCAAAGACGTATTGTGTTGGGTGACAGGAGGTGGCTGCCGCCAGAGAGGGGTGGGTGAGGCCTGTGACTGCACATAAAAATGGGAGGCCTTTTTATCCTTTGCTTTTATTTCTGTTGTTTATTCCCCACATAAAAGCATGTAGTATCCTTGGTTGCTGTGGTGCTTGACAGGTGACACACTTTAAACAGTGTATATTTCAAAAAAGGAGGAATTTTACTTTTTTCTTCCTCCCCACCCCCCTTCATTTTTTTTCCAATACTGGGGATCAAACTCAGGACCTTGTGCTTGCCAAGCAGGCACGGCACCACTGAGCTACATCCTGGCCCTATTTTATTTTTATTTATTTAAATTTTTGAGATACAGTCTTATTATGTTGCCCAGGCTGACCATGAAGTGCTGAGCTTACATAATCCTCCTGCCTCAGCTTCCAGAAAAGGAATTTTTACCTATTGTTCAGATGAAACATGAAAAAGCCCCAGCCTGCAGATCTCTGATCTGTGTCAGTCTTCCAGTGGGTGTGAGCCACTCAGTCCTCTGTGCTGCCTGTGGATAGCCCAGCAGGGCCATGCCCGGCCATAGCCCTGTCGTCGTCTTCACATTGGGTCATGAAGGCAGAGCTAGACTGGACAGGCCATGACTGCCTCACTCCTCACAGGTGCCTCCCAGGAGAGGTCTCAGGGTCCTTCTCCACAGAGCATGAAGTAAACAGGGGGCTGCGCAGGAGGTGAAGCCCACATGCAGGGCCCCTATAGCTGGACACATGGCTGTGTGCACCCACCCTTCAGCCGCGCAGGCCCCATGGGTGGACACATGGCTGTGCTGGGCTCTGTGCTCAGCTGCAGGGCAGGCAGCATCGATGAGCGTGGCAGCCCCTCCTTCGCTCCCACAGTGGCTGCTGTGGTGCAAAAGCTCGAAACCCTTTTCTTGTCTTTTGTACCAGGGACCCCAGCCCAGCCCCACCCATGCCTGTTCAGCCAGGCTGCAGGCAGGTGCCATCCCCACCATGCTGCGCCTGCCTGTCCGCTCTCCCAGGAGCCCGGACCCTGCCATGCACCACGTCTGTGAGGGGCCTTGGTTGCGATCCTTGTTAGGATCCAACGTGACAGTAGAAATAAAGTGCACAATAAATGTCATGTACTTGGATCACCCCCAAACCAACCCCTGCCCTGCTAGGTGCCAGAGACCAGGACAGCTGATTTACACACTCAGGTCACCTGTGGAACTTCCGCAGAAACTGACATGCATTTCTTCAGATGTCTCCCTTCTCAGCTGACCATCAGTAAACTCTTAGTTTCTTGTAATATATTTTCTCTTTTTTAAAAAAGACATTTAGTGACCTTGGAAAATATTTCAGAAGGGTGTGCCGTGTGCTAGCCCTCACCTCTCTGAGGAGAACTGTCCTTGCGAAAGTTATGCAGAGGTCACTGTTAGCCGGAAAACACAGGGAGAGTCAGACCTGGGCATGGAGCTGGA